GAATGCTTTGAAATACACGCAGGCGGACTGAGACTCGAACAGGATACTCGCCGCATGCCTAGATACATTTGCTCATTGGTCGTGTGGTTGTGACAGGCCACCGATGCTGCATGCTGCACGCTGCATACTTGCCTCAATTACGCCGAAAATGTCACATTAATTATTGGCATTTATGGGGTTTGCGCCGCTTTTGATATGATAGACGACAATGCAGGCCAACATTTGAAGTCTACTTTACGGCGCTCTATTGTTGTGTCTGTGTCCTCGAAAGTGCGCGCGTCTGTGTGTGTCAGCCGCACAGAAATTTATGTGTGTGCTATGCGTTTGTGTGTGTGCCACGTATTAATTGGAATTTGTTTTTGTGTGTCAGCTGCAAGACGACGACTTGGCTCGAAGGTCTCTTTGTTGGCTTTTGCGGCAATTAAAAGTTAATTTGACAAAGCGAGACATTTCGAATTAATTTCGAGTCTAAACGACGTTTTAATTCAATTTATGTTTTTGGCAGCACAACTTGACAATGCCATCAATTGAGTTTGTCGATTGACTCAAGGTCCTTGTTGATGTGAGGCTGGCATTCTGGTTGCCAAATCTGGGCTAAATACATTTGGAGTGTGCGTACTTTATTCTTTAAATTAATTGAGTTCGGAGGGCGGTCCCAGTGCATTTCGGCCTCCATTCCAATTACTTAATGACAGCCCACAGTCGCAGTGATTAGGCCGCAAGCGCTTTAAGCCCAAAAGGGGCACCCATTCAATGTCAACTTACGCCAACCGACTGTCAGCAACAGGAGCCATTCTCCACACTCATGCGGCTACTTATGCAAAATGCTCGACTCCGCCACTAGACGACACCACCCGTTGCTGCTCATCTACACGCACATGGAGCTTTGATTGCCGGCGGACGGAGGGCGGGACAGTGGGACAGCGGGACAGTCGGGAAGCGGGACACTCCGACGGAGACACACAATTGTGTTGATTGCACAGATGACAAGACCTAGGACGAGATGACAACTTTGCTGCCTGCCAGCCTTGATGACAATGAAGTGCATGCATGAATATTCTAATCAAATGAGCCGCCAGCCTGTCCTGGCTTCTACCTCCTGGCTTCTGCCTGCGGTCCTACCATTGTCGAGCTGTAAAATTTTTCGCCTCCGCCACATGGCTACACACGGAGAAGTGGGACAGATCTTTTGTTAAAATATTACATCTAAAAAACAAATGCCAACAAGATTTTGGCAAAACCATAGTAATTTCCAATATTCTTTCATAATTTTATTGCTTTTTAGACACAGTTCGTAGGAAAAGAAAAACAAAGAAAAATTGGTATGAAACGAGGATCGATCAATTTTAACTTGATATGCGGGTACCTCAATTCGATATGCTCGAAATGTAAGCCACATGTTCTACGTGGGCCAGTTCGAATATCGAAGAGGTCTTTCTCTCTTCCTTTTTTAAGTCAGAGAATCTCTGAGAGAGAAATTTTGGTAAAAACAAAATGCGTACGCAATGCCAGAAATTTACCATGCGCATATCGATTTGACAGCGATTAATGTTTTTTAAATGTTTTTTTTAAGAACCTATTAGGAATCTAAATAATTTAACAGTAATAAAAAAATAAATTAAGAGGCTTTGGAAAAAGTTGCCTAAATGTAGATGAATTTATCCAAAACGAATTACTGTCGACCGTTTCCTAACTGACCTTATTCTTTTTTCCAAGTTCTAAAATTCAAAAATATGTTCAACGATTTATGTTGCTTTTTGCCAATCTTTTGTTCTATGCCATTTTTTCGCTCAGTGCTGCGCCACATGCTTTGTGTTTTGTGCTGGGCAAAAGTTTCAAAGTCAGCCCAAGTCCCCGGCCAGAAAAACCTTTCCTTTACCTCGTTTCATTTCATTCACTCACTGAAATCGAATTTGCATAATTTAACATGATGGTTGCGCTTATTCCTGTAGCCTGTCAGGCGCACAGACATCGGTGTTCTTGGAATGAGCGGTTAGGCGGAGGAGGGGTTGGGTTATTATTGTTCGCCCTCGGATTCAGCGTCACCGCATTTCGCTGCCACATGCATCATCATTTGCATACATTTGCAGTTCGCCCAGTCAGTCAATGTTCATTCCTCATTACCCCTGCCCCCGCACCCTCCTGTGTATCGCCCCATCGTAAAGTCGATTTTCTTTTGAATATAATTCGGAGCGGAAAAGTGCGGGGAACGAGAAGGAGAACGAGGACGAAAGCATTGACGTTGATGGATTTCGGCACTTACACAGGCTAGCGCCTGTCACTTTCCTAACACCAACTGCGACTCCGAAAAAAGGGAGCGCCAGACTCTGCTCCAGTTGAGCTGACTTTGAAGCGCATTTTAATGAAGAATGATATGTTGGCATCGCAGCCGCAATTTTCCCTTCCCCCCGCCCGCAATTTAACCACATCGACTGACAGTTTTCGCGGCTTTGCACGCAGTCACTGTCGAAGTTGAAGGGCGACGACATCAACAACAAGTTTTCCTGTTCAACAGGAAGTCAAAAAACAAAAAAAATACAAAGGAAAGAAAAATGAAAATTTGTATCAAATTATGTCGCTGCTTTGTCTTCGATTCGCATGACATTCCTAAATATATGCGTGAAATATTTCAGCTATTCAAATTTGTGCGCAAATTTCAGGCATCAATTTGATTGGAAATTGATGGCTGTCGGGAATCTCAGAATCCCACTCCTTATTTCTCAACGGCCTAAGTGCAGCTACCCTAAAAGCCCCCTAAACAAATAAACGAGAGTGAAAAAAATAGAAAAACACAAGAGTAGGTACACAAAAACAAACAAAAATAAAAATAATAAATACCCCCGGAACATTGGTTTTCCTATGCAAAGTGTCACATGGCCAATGTGCCACGCCCCCTTCCGACCGCTGCCGCCGCCGACGCCACCTCTGCCTTTTCATGCATATCAAAATGGCAACAATAAACGGCAACAAAAGAACAACAATAACAAACATTAACATAGAAATACACACGCACACGAGGACGACAAAAGGCGGCAGTCAAAAATGTTGCAAATGTAAGCAAAATAAAACAAGAAAGGAAGCTAGCTTCGGCCAGCCGAAGCTTATATACCCTTGCAGATCATTCCTATTAATTAACAAATCGCAAAAATGTTCAATTTTCTAATATTTCTCATAAATTTTCCGATCGTTCCTATGGCAGCTATATGATATAGTCGTCCGATTTTGATCAAATTAAAATTGAAATTCGGAAATATTTAAAAAGAGTCATATCCTAGAGTAGAAGATAATACAATAAAAACCAAAGAAGCTAGAATTTATTTCCTATTACTTTTCCATTAATTTTCCGATCGTTCCTATGGCAGCTATATGATATAGTCGTCCGATTTTGATTAAATTAAAATTGAAATTCGAAAATATTTAAAAAGAGTCATATCCTAGAGTAGAAGATAATACAATAAAAACCAAAGAAGCTAGAATTTATTTCCTATTACTTTTCCATTAATTTTCCGATCGTTCCTATGGCAGCTATATGATATAGTCGTCCGATTTTGATTAAATTAAAATTGAAATTCAAAAATATTTAAAAAGAGTCATATCCTAGAGTAGAAGATAATACAATAAAAACCAAAGAAGCTAGAATTTATTTCCTATTACTTTTCCATTATTTTTCCGATCGTTCCTATGGCAGCTATATGATATAGTAGTCCGATTTTTTAAATAATTAATTCGAAATTCAGAAATATTTAAAAAATAACATCCCCAAAAGTAGAAGGTAATATTTCAAAAAACACCGAAGCTAGAATTTTTTAAAGTTTTTTTTTCCGATTGTTCCTATGGGAGCTATAAGATATAGTTGTCCGATCCGGTCGGCTCCGACATATATACTACCTGCAATAGAAAGAAGACTTTTGCGAAAGTTTTGTCCCGATAGCTCAAAAACTGAGAGACTAGTTTGCGTAGAAACAGACAGACGGACAGACGGACAGACGGACGGACAGACGGACATGGCTAGATCGACTCGTCTTGTGATGCTGATCAAGAATATATATACTTTATGGGGTCGGAAACGTCTCCTTCACTGCGTTGCAAACTTCTGACTGAAATCATAATACCCTCTGCAAGGGTATAAAAATATAACAAAGACACAATTACACTCACAGACCGAGTGTTTGCCAGAGTATTTGTGTGTCTGTGTGTATGTATTTGTAAAACCAAAACTTTTGACATAATAAAATGGAATGTTATTGTTAAAAAAGTTACTTGCATATTAAAACAAACGAAACTTCCCACTGCCTCTATATCTGTGTTTTTTTTTGTTTTTTTTTACCATTTGTTTACCCTCTGCATGTGTGTGTGTGCGCGTATTTTTACTTGCAAATGCCGCATACAAATGCAAATGGCCGGCGTGTGAAACGAGCAGCACTGCCAAAAGCAAACAACTTTAATTGAACTGTTTACCCGATTTTTATTTTATGCCACCTCAAGGCCCCAAACCTCCGAATTCTCCGCCCCTGAAGCTCTGTAATTGTTATGGTTATGTTTGTGATGATTATTTGGCTCGTTGCACAGCTGCCCACATTTTGGATGGGACATTATCAGTTGACTGGAAGCCAGTTTATCAGTTCTCCAGCCGGAGGGAATTGGCAGCACAAGCTGTCCAAAGTACTCTTAAGTTGAATCGAATAACTGAAAAAGTTACGTATACTTAATATGCCCGAATTTTGCCTAGCTAGGAATGGCACAAGCTATACGACATCGATACAGCCGGGCTGCAATCTAAAATACTCTTAGCACGTCTACAGACAACCAAGCTAATGCCAAAAACGTAACTATCAACAGAATCTGGGGTTTAATCAAATAACTGCAAAAATACAACAGATAACGAGCCGAACGAACACGTTACGTATACTTAATATCTTAGGTGGGAAACTGAATTGGATATAGCTTTAGCTGTAGATAAGTAGTAAATATGTATATAGGTAAGGAATTCGGGTACTCACCTTTACTAGCACCGTCCGGGCCGCGAAGAATGGTGCACTCCTCTATAGTGCCGAACGGATGGAAGATTTGTCTAACATCGTCTTCGGTCTGTTGTTTGCTGAGCATGCCAACGAACAGCTTGCGATCTAAATGCTCTGTTTTGGTTTCGGGTTTGTTCATGTTTCATGTCATGTCATGTGATTCGATCGATCCAATACGATTGATTTTGATTGATTACGATTGATTAACGATTTTGATTGTTGCACCAAAGGAGACGGCAAAATGGACAAGTGGCAATGTGGCAGTGTTCGATCGTGTTTGTTTCGGTTTTGGTTTTGGTTTCGGTGTGTGAAAATGATAAGTTTTCAATCAAGAAGCCATAGCCAGAGAAAATTCGCATCAAATAATATGGAAATCCGAAAAATGAATACGGAAAAATCATACATATCCTCGATCAAAATATGTAAGTGTGTCGGTGTAAAGAGAGATGTAAATGCAACAGGGTTACACATTACGCAACATTTTTTTTTGTAACGAGTAACGAACGCAGCAGGCACATTTACGTAATTGTTTTTTTTTGGTTGGTAAATTTTTTTAAATTTCAACAGGCGCAAAATACCCAAAGGAAAGTAAAAGCAACAACATTTATTTAAGAAGAAATTCGTTGGTGTTTGGGTGGATAGTTTGAGCACCAATAGAGCAAATACAATTACAACATTTATTAATGTGGTTAGGTTTTTTTTGGGAGGGTGGGAAGAGGGAGTACAAATTTTGATTTTATAAGCGGAACGAATTTGTTTTGTTGAAATTGTTGCATCAAGAAGGTAGAAATTTCGATAAGGAAACAACCGAATCAAATCAAAATAAATCGAAAAAAATCACAAAGAAGTCAAATCAGTTTTTGAAAATAATAAGAGAAGAATTGTCAGTTTTCCAATTTTGCCAATTTTGATGTATTTATTTTTTTTCGTTTCAATCATATATATTTTATATAGAGCACGAACAAGTGTTACATAAAAAGGAAAGAAAAGAAGATAAAATGGGTGATATTTAGTTAAAATTGTCGTACAATTTGTTTTTTGTTTAACTTACAATTTACGAGAATGGAAATTAGCTATTCATATACGTAATATATATATATATAGGTTTGATGATTATATATAGAACAGACACGCACACGCACACACACACAAGCAAATCATCTCGCACACACTTACAAGCTGGCCACGCACAGAGCTACTGAGTTAAGGATAGACATTGAAAGGTAATTGAACACGCTAGCCACTACTTGAAAAAAGAATTGGTAAAATTACGGCGAGCATGAGTTGGAAATATATGGCTTAAAAGTACTTAGAGTCTAGGTTTTTGGGTGGGTGAGCGATAGATGGTGTTTGGAGGTGATCAGCACGGGAGATTCTCTAAAATCTAATCAATATCTACTGGTAAATGGATAAGGTCGCACAAACGGCAGCTGTCACGACTGTCCTCCTCCGCATTTCACCCTCTCAATTTCAAATTTCCCATTTTTCGCTTTCCGAAAAAGCATATAAGGTGCCCAAAAGGACCGCCTCTCGCACTCGTATCATATCGAAAATTGAGCGTCACATAATTGGCAAAACACTTGCCACAGACAGCCAAGCCAAGCCAAGCCAGTCAGCCCCAGCTGCCGTTGCTGTCGCGTTAAAGTGGCAAAAGCAATCGAAGTAGAAAATAACTAATACGACACGTTGGACCCGTGCACATGGCCTGCAGGCAATTGTCTTGTGTCCGGGTTAAGCCTAATGGCATTTGGGTTCCGTTCCTGTCCTCTCTTTCGGTCCCTCCCAACCCTTCCAACCCCTTCAAGCACGTGCAATAAGCCAAACAACGCCCCTGGCATGCTAAGCAACAACAGCAAGAAGGGCAAGTGGAAAGTAGAAGGGTTGGCTTAATAAAAATGTAAAGCACGTTGAAACGGAGGGCAGGACAAGGTAAAAATAGTGCAGCATACTTTGCGGCGCCTGCTGTTGTACATATGAAATGGCATAGTTCAACTGGCTGTTAACAGTTGCGGCCAAAAAGAGCAGAAAAAAGAGCGGTCAGGGTGGGCCAAGAAGATGGGAGGTGGTTAGCTGGCAGGCAGGACAAAAGGATTTGCACAATGTTTAGCCTGGCGTTGCAGCAATTTTCTACAATTACCTGGGGCACAACGACACAGACCGGCAGGAGGGATAAAATGCACACAGGGCTTTCAGTGATTCCCTTTTGCTTGTTCTCCTCCTTTGCTCTTACGTTTTTTTTCTCGTTTCAACCTTTTTTTTCGGTCTCACAGCTGAAGGAAAGAGCAGTGAAAATAATATTAAAGGCCATTAGGCTCATATAGACAAGTTAAGTGGCTCCTGGCCCGGCTGCTCGGTCCTTGGTCCTGGGTCCTCCTCTGATTCCTTTGCAAGCCATGTGTGGCAGTTTTTAGATTTTATTTTTATGCCTGCCCTGGCAAAAGAAGTCATTAACGTGTCGTTGTCTTTGATGCCGCCGCAGCCAAAGCGAAAGGGGCGAGTGCGGCAGAAAGAAAGCCAAATTAAATTAGCTAACCACATGGCAACTTTTGTACATGTGCTGTGCCACAGGAGACGACAAGGACAGGCCACTAATTGTTGCACGTTATGTTTTTGCTTATCTTCCCATCCCGTGCCTGCCATCCAGCATCCAGCATCCTGAATCCAGCTGCATCTTCAGCGCTTTTTCCCTCTCCAGGGGGAAGTAATTGTATTTTAAGTACTGGCCAAAGGTGAAAAAGCCAGTCGCGTCTATGAATAATACAAAAAATTGTGGAGACAGCGGCGCCAGAGGGAAAATACAAAAAAAACTAAACACAAAGTCGCTGACAAAGCGAAAGTCAAAGCTCAAAGCTCATGTGTCCCTGAACTCCCGCCACCGCCCAGTTCGTCTTGCCCTTTTTTCACTGTACTGGCTGGCCTCCTTTGACTGGCTGGCTGGGCACTCTGGCCAATTGACATGTAAATTGACGTTTAATGGCTGCTAATGAGCGTCTGAGGATTAGTTCTTCCTCAATGGGAGACGAAGGTACGGGGCTATTTGAATATCTGAATAGATTGAAGGAGGAGAGTCTGATTTTCTCGGATCAGGTGTGCCTCAAAAGCTGCCTTTGCTGCAGGGATTTCGTTGCTATCCCATTGCAGCTAATAAATCATTAAGCAAACAAATAAATACTCCATTAATTTTCACAGCTTAGCCAACATTCTGAGAACGAACTAAGCTACAAATGAAGATCCTCCGTAATGCGACCAATTCATATCTGAAAATGTTTTAATCTGATTACTGCAGATAGCTCAAAATGCTATGTAAATATGTTTAAGTTATTAATTATTTTGTGGGGATTTTCAAGCTCTTCGTTATAATTACAAAACTTTGTGGGAGACGCTGTGCCGAGCTGTGTTGGAATAATATTTGCTTGGCAAAAACTGATTGAAAACGAAATCCACCCCCATTCTCAGCCTGATGCTATCCCGTATTTATGTGTTTGTATCCTATCCTCTCATCTGACCACGTTTATTTTGCTATAAATTATTGAAATTGTAATTACTTAGGCAGGAAATGGGTAAATGAGCGCCAAATCGTATACTTAGTGCTGCCCAACAGTTCAACTGGCTCTTCACGTTGATAGGCCCGACTTTCTTAGCAGCTTGTAATGAAAATTTAATTAGAAATATATATATGTATACATTGATTACGTAAAGCAGGCAGCACTTTGTGCCTAAGCCTAGAGTAGTTTTTCATTTGCATTTTTCCCGATTTTATTAGAGCCCTCTACTCGCTTTGATTGATGATGTGCCCTTTTTGGGGAGTGTGAGGGTGAGTGACTGGTAAAAGGAAACTAATTAATATGTAATTAGTGACACTCATTTGACATGTAACGAGGCTAATGTAAAAATATTCCAGACTCTCAGCGCGAAGGGAGTTCATCCCCCTCCGAAAGCTTTGATTAAAATGTAAATTACCCCTCGTACAATCAATTCTTCGGCCATATCATATGTTCGAGCCGAATCAGTGGGACCAGATGTGGCAAATGCTATGCTGCCCCATCAATTTTGCCGGCAATTGTTTCGTCTCGTTTGGTCCAAGTGCGCCTGCAGGCGGCACTGGATCGTCGACGACATCCCATTTTTATGGCTGGCCCTCAGACAGACAGAATGTCTGAAAGTCAGGGGAGGTGTCAGTATTTATACGGCAAATAAGCTAAATGCTCCCTTTATGAGTCCCTCAACGGCGGCGTCGCCGGCAAACAGTTGGTGTCGTCGCCCGGCAATTGTGTGGCAATTGTCAAAAGTCTCCCCAGTCTTTGTGACGTTTAAATATGACTAGAGATAACTCAGCTTCCACAGCTCCTGGCTCCTTGCTCTTTTCTCGTCTTTGTTGTCATTGTGTCGCGAATCCTTTGGGCCTGCTTCCGGCGACTTTGAGCTTTCGAGTTTATTTGTCAGTTTGAAATTCTTCCATAATAAGCGTAAAACCCGACTATAGGCTGGGGACAAACCGGCGAAGTTATACGAATTCTGGCGAAAGCGAGAGCCTAGCCCTAAGCCAAAGTTAGCAGTAAATTAGTTATTAGCCTTGTAAGTAGTTCAAAAGTTAACCCAGCTGACAGCCGAGCGGGGTTTTCATTGGGAATGCGGAAAAGGGCCAAGAGTCGCTAAAATGCGCCTAATTGTTAATTAGTGTCAGCGCAAATTTGTGTGCGGCTGCAGTGCCAGACATTTCCATAGTCACATTTTTAGGCACAAAAGTTTTGGCCTTCGTTTTCGCTTGGTTTTGGCCAGGGCCAAAAGTCAAAGGCAGACCGAGCGGAAATAGGAAGAAGGCAGAAACTTTGTCTTCGCCGCTGTGGTATTGAAGTGTTAATTAATATTGAAAGGGATAAACTTTTGTCTGACTTTCTGAGTGGCGAAGAAAGGACTGCCGAAATCTTACGCAAAAAATTAAAATAACTTTTTCTTTAAAAATTTAAAGGCTTTTCTTTTTGCCACAAAGGGTAATTGAATAGCCTTTTGAACTATTAAAAACTTCAGTATCAACAGTATTTTAAGCGCGATTTTGAAACGTGCTGCTGCGAGACAGAGAGCATGCATTTGCATTTCATTTTGCAGGCGGTGAT